CGTTATGACATTACAGGCCGACTGTCAACAACGTTTGTACGTGGCCGTTACGTCTAATAGACTAGGGTTAGAGTAGCTTCCCTTGACAAAGGACAGTTACTCTAGCGGACAGACCTATGGATTGCCGCAAAATGCAAGTAAAAACAATTGTTGTTTTGCGTATATGTTGCTTCGCCACTGGCACAGGAAAACTCGCAATGTTTAGTTAATCTTTGTGAGAGAGGGATAAGATTTTCAAGCACAGAATTAAAGAATGACATCATATGATAAAGAGGTTATCACACCGAGGCTCGCTAAATACAATGTTTATTCCTAATGCAGGATATGTACCATCCCCGAACACACTCGCGTGATAACCTCTTTATACCAGGAGAAGAAACACATGACCAGGTTCTTTTGGTAAATAATAAGGGATGACATGTTTATCGTTATCCATTTTTCAGTCTCAGGAAACCAATGCAAGATAAAAACTTGCCTAGCGTTTCTCCCGAAACAGATTCCATTTGGCGTAAAAGGCAAAATAGCAGCGGAAATTTATGAATGGACAATTAAAAATCTACGAAGACATCAGGTGTTCGTGAAAAGGGTGAGCATATCATGCCCTACCGCTGGAACCCACTATTCATACAATTTGTAAGAAAAGTAAGAATGTATTGCCTGATTCTAATTACATAATAATAATTAAATTTTCGTTGTGTTCATTGAAATTCCTGTATTCTGATTAGCTGAATTGGTCACGTGTTATTGCATTCATTTCCCAATGAATCTAAAAAATTAAGCCACGCCCACCGAGGCGCACTATTTTTATTACTTCGGAATGTCGGGGAATCCCAATATTACAGCCGAGGGAATTCCCTTTCTGCTCCCGTGTATCGTCATGCACAGGACATTAAGCGACTTTCATGCATACTCATTGTCCAAACAAACCTTTGAAACCGAAGGCCGAGAATGAATGAAACAGCAAACGTTCAGACTCGCTCGCCTTTTTTTTCTGCTCGCCTCGGTTCAATTTGACTCACTCACTCACTCACTCAACTTTCATGTCTTCGGGTTTCCTTTCTAACTAGCATTTTTCCAACTGTGTTTTACCGTAATCAGGGAATTAATGTTTGAATCTGTCGGTAACTGACCATGTAATTTGAAACAGCCGCCTTCTCCCGGACATATTTCTTCCAGTTCGTTACAGTCTGACTGTTGCAGTTCTTTTCGCCACTTGTCTTAACTGACAGGTCCAATGAACATTGTTTTGATCCTGCTCTCCGTTGATTGGCTACTGACAGTGTAGGCGTGTCAATTTATGTGCATAATTAAACAATCACCTGATTCATGTCACGCCACAGTATGTATTCCTACACCTGGAATGTTTATCAATCTCGTCATTTGTGTCTGTTTTGATATATACAACTGTTTTTGGTTAAACTATTGTAGATAAAACATGTTTTATGCTGTCGAATTTAATTATAAGCATTGACTGTGTATTTTTCTCGTTTCATTGAGGTATGAATCGAAAAACCAATGTGCAAACTACGCGGATTCATACAGTTTGCACATTGGTTTTTCGATTCATACTTCAATGAACCGAAAAAAATACACAGCCAGTCCTTAAATGAAATGATAGTAACATAACAATAAATAATAAACGAAGATGATAATATGTGTGACATCCATCTCATTCTGCATTGGAATTACGAATTTTCATTTGTAGCTGCCGTAATTTATTCTATGCTTATGTCCCAAGTGGTAGACCCAGGATTCGTTTACTGTGAAACAGATATTCGTAGAGATGATTGACTTCACACTGATCTGCACGAATTCCTCCAAAAGGCATTAGAGATCATGGTGGTTTGTGGACATTACACTGACAATTAAAAGGGAATGCAATGTCTTGTGTGTCGACCATTTGCGTCAAGTACTGCCCAGCACGTCGTGCAGAGAGATGAAATGTAAGTTAGTACCACATGTTGGGTAATGTTTATATATCATCAGTTAAAGTTCTTCAGGTGACATGTCAGAAGGTGCGATGTTTTTCCCAACCATAAAACGCTTGTTGAAGAAAACAAAAATTGCGGGGACCAAGCGGATGATGCGTGATCCGTACCTTTGCATTAGCCCAAGGACAAAATGCTGCCATGATAAATAATCCACACAGAGGTCCGACGAAGGCCGCTAAGACACCAGTGGCTATCTGCAATTGTATAACCAGCAATGTCAATAGTTGTAGATGGGGTTTTATCTATCACGGAGGCTAGAATTGCCCAAATAGTGCCAGGATATAGGTAGCTCACTATGTAGTCTAAAAAGACAGGGAGGGGGGCTGCGGTTGATCCCCACATCCCCACCCAGATCCGAACCAGTCCCCCACCCCACCAGGTTTTTAAAGAAACACCGGTGCTTTTGGAATATTATTGGTTTCTATTTACTTCTGTACATTTTATATGATACGCTCTTTTAAAAGTAGTCTTAAATGGGAAAGAAAAGTGGAAACACTGATTGCGATTTTGTTGGGAATATCGGTTTTCCTATGAACATTATTCTTCAGAATCATGGGGCTTGGAACTTAGCACACGAAACTCAAACATTGTGTTTAGAAAAGGTGGCGAGTACAGCCAGTGGAGAAATGGTCCTATGATGAAACAGGGGTAGATGCCGTTGATAGCTTTACACATCTCGAAATTAGTGGCTCGTGAAATCTTCAGCAACCCATGCGTGCAGTTAAAGGCCACAATGCTAGTTGTAAGAGGCGACTAACGGGATCAGGTGGTCAGGCTCGCTGACTTGGTTGATGCATCTCATCGATCCCAATTATGTGGATCGATGTTCATGATGTTAACCACTGGATTGTCTGGTCCAGTATCGATCATGTACAGACCGCAATCATATAGCTGGAATATTGCTAAGTGCGGCGTAAAACAACCAACCATTGGTTTTACAGTTCATTCTCCTTATAGAAATATCCTATCACGGAGACGATGTCTACTGTGTAAGGGATAACTCCTAACGATTATTGTTTACCACCGACAACCTTTAATGTTTAAGGGTTGATAAAGAATTGAGAATGCACAAGACTACTGAAGGGATCCTCTGTGTTGTTTCTAATTCATAGCTTAAGTTGTGGACACGGTAATGAAACAGATGAGCAGACAGAAAAGAGATTAAAAAATATGCGTGGAAGTGGGCAGACAAGGCTCTGACCTACCATTGAAATTGTGCATTGAAAACCCGTTTTAAACCCTATGGCGGATATTTTCGTGTGGATGACGATTTTTTATTCATCAGCTACCGTCTTTTTCAAATTAGACTTTAGTCAAGCATTTATGATGTTGCTAAGTTGTGTTTAGGTGCCCTTCAAACAAAGTTACATGTATGAATTGAAATATAATTGAATGTATAAACTGTTCTCTGACGGGTGTTCTTGAATCCTGAACAGTTGTATGCAAAGAAACATTTTGATCACCCGGAATTTTCTCTGCAAAGACGCAGCCGATCATGGAATCTTCCAGTTTCGTGTTTTCACTCTGCTACACACAGTAATGATTGTCTGCATGCTTTGTTAATCCCTACTGACTCCTACTCAAATGCTTAACAGGCGTTCTATTACTAATACAGTGGTGTAAAATACGAAATGCGTTGTGAAATGCAAATGTATATTCTGATCGCATTGATAAGCTTATTAAATATCTTATTTGCAAGAGCTTAGTTTCGTACAGATGCACATTTAATTCTTAGAAAACAAATTTCTGCATAAACAAGCTTACAAACGTTATTTCACAATGTACAGTTATTTTGATAGAAATTAAAGCATGCTTTGTTGCCGATGCTTCTTCGAAACTTGGCAATTTCCATTTAACCCTGTTTCGGGACAGGGGTCACACAAGAACTGTAGCAATGTTTACGCATTAAGATTAATAGGAGTAAACAGCACATCAACATCACAATGATGAATAATTAGCTTAAGTTAACCACTTTTACACTTTACAACCAAATAATGTGTCCAAAGCAGTTCTTTTTGTAGATCCATGTGTCTGCGGCAAAACAACAACAACAAGTATTGAGGAGATGACTACTCAAGATCTACCTGGCAATACGGTCACCACTGCAACATCTGAACGGTCATTCTCAAGTCTTAAGAGACTGAAGACACACCTTAGAAGTACCGTGACACAGCAACGTCTTAACAACACCATGCAGATGGACATTCACCAAGAGGCTACTGAAGACGGATGCCTTAAGGACATTGCCAAGGCATTTACACATGGTATCATCTGTGGTGGCTATATGGGAACTGTCCCAGGTAACCCACACTGCGATGAAGCAAAGCATGTGAACATGGAAGAAAATGTTTCGTTAGATTTCAGCTATTACATCACCTAACAGACATCACTAATTGTTTTACTTTTTAAATAAAGAAGTATTCATACATAACAGCCTGCACCCAGCTGGGCCCACGCTCTCCTTCATTTGGTGATCACATGAACTGGATTGGACCCATGATTTCTTGAATACAATATTAAACATGATTTCTTGAACACAATATTAAACATGTTTTCTCTCCATCATGTATTTGACTGCAAAGTTTGTGTATTATGGTGCAATGAACATACTTCATATCCTTAGGTATAAAAAGATTATAGGTGCTGGTCACTATTGCTTACCTATGACATTGGCTTAAAAGAAATAAATCTACCCCATCCACTCGAACCCACCCCACCGTGCACAAGCACCCACTCACCCCACTAGCAGGCCACCAATCTCGGACACACAGGCTACAATTAAAGCTCACTTGACTTTCAAACTGATGAGCTAAACAATACTTATTTAGTTATCTTGCCTCATAACATGCAGATAACAGACATACCCTTAAGATGAATCTATTTTAGAAATTCAACACTGATTATAAAAGTAATGTAAAAAAACATTTGAAGTTTCTTTCCCTGGTCAGATCAAAGGAACTGATAAATTGAACACGTGAGACCACATGATATTGAAAGTTTCCATACCTGCAACAATGTTCCACCAACCAATGATATGAGAATCGCTATGCCAAAGGTGAACATTCCGTAGATGATCACTGAAAGAAGATCCTGAATGATATGTTTTGTTTTTGTACAAGTGTTTTTTACATATATTCTCCCATGAATTTGGAAAATACTGATTTTGATTGGTCGATCAGATGTTATGAAATCACAATAAACCCCCTTTGTTTGAAACAGCCGATTTGACAGCCGCATCACCGCGGAAGCCATGTTTTGAGAAAAGGACTTTTTAAAGTCATTGTGGGTAGGCAACTTTAAATAATTATATGTACATTTATATGCTACAAAGCGCAAAGTCGCGGCTACTATAATATTCATCATGAGTGGCAATACAAGGAATCTAGAAAGAGAATGTATTTCAAGTCTTGAGGACAACAGCGACTGTGTCGTCATATCTTTTGCGTGACGGGTTATATGACGTAACAATAATGACGTGCGGCATAGAACAAAACCTTTGCAAGGCTTTGCTGAGTTTTCTTTAGGGGTGCTCACCTCATGTTAGCTTACGAATTTGCCGTGCTACATACTTGCCTGTTCGAGTGAAATGTTATGGTGTAAACAAACTTTTTGAGCTCCATATTTTGTTGTTTTCTTTGCCTGATCGACAACCCACTCAAAACACTGGACTCAACCCAAGCCACTTCATTCAAGGTAGTTGCTATTACCAAACAGCTATTTGGTCATGGAAGAATCTATATATTTTTTCATAAGTATTTTGCCTTTTACGCCCAAAGGAATCTGTTTCGGCAGATAATCGAGACGTATTACTCCCTACGTTGACGTTTTCTATTCAATTCATATTAATAATAAATTAATGCATATATGCTTCCTCAATGGCTTCACCCTGTGCTTGCGATGGTAGATAGTAGCAATATCATGCATGTGTATGCAGCATCCTACCTGCTACTTTAGCTACAAGTGTTGCCTTGAAGTCGGAATGGTTTGGCAGGTGATGCTTGAGGATGTCTTCCCAGGCTGTGGCCGCCAGACTGGACAGCCCAGAGGAAATAGTGCTGAAGGGAAGGGATTATGTAAAATGTGGACTTCAATCTAAAAAAAACCATACAATTAAATAATTTAATATCTTAACATGTACACATAATCCATGTTGACCCTTGTTAAATGACATGCACATAGTATTGTTACTTCTACTTCAGAAAACTGACGTTCAGCTGTTTGGCACTGATAACGACTGATGCCAAGAGTCTTCACTTTCATTTCTCTGGGTGCCGTCTCCGTGGTATAGTGGATAGAGCGACTGCTCGGAAAGCAGAAAGTCGGTGGCTCGATCCCCTGTCGCGTCATACCAAGTACGTTAAAAGATTAAACTTGCAGTTCCCGGTCTAGTGCTTGGCGTTAAAGGGATTTAACAAGGTCTGATCGTCTCAGAATCAGTATACTGCGTCTGAGCGCGAAGTATCCATGTTAAACTGCTGCATGATATCTCAGTGGGCGAGCACCATCAAGCCTGCACTAGTACAAGCAGCCACACACACGCATTCATGAACGTCGCTGTGTTAGCGCAGTGATACTGACCGCGACGTTAAACCACATTTTACCTCCCCATTCCCTCACCTGAGTGAGGCACTACAAAGAGCTGCCACAAACAGTCCCAGCATCCCAGGGATACCTTTGAAGATGTCCACAGTCAGGATAGGAAGGATCTGAAAACAATAGTATCATTTTTGTTCCCAGTGCTCTAAACTGACATTGTTCAAAACACATTTACAAAAACAGTTGACATTTCAGAATAACTATTAGTCGTGTGTCACTTCAATCTGGCCATCTTCCCGAGGCAAGGGAGTAAGCTGACTGTAAAAGTCCAGTACCCACCCTTGCCAAACTAGGCTGGAATAATGGAGTTGTATTTTGGCTGGACTAACGAGTCTGTGCAATCAAAATCCTGGAACGAAATCGGCGTCTGGTTCATAGACAACATGGCAATCACAGCGCCGAATTCGTTGGATTGCAGGATTGGCAGAGCATGTATACCTATACCGTCGACATATATTTTCCTAGTCATTTCACCTCATGTGATTCGATGCACACAGCAATAAAGATCATTATTATCGATGAAATCGTCTTGACTGGGCGCCGCCATTTTGTTTCAAGCAAGTGAAAGATATATGAGAGGTGGAATTCGATCAGTTGTGGCGACATAGATGGGACATATCTCGTAAAAGTCACTGATGACGCTACGATTGAGCCTAGAAATTCAAGCCAAGTTCGGTAACTGGACTTTTAAAGTCAGTTATCTACCTTACTTTGGGAAGATGCAAGCTCCTTCCCAGTGCTGACAGTCTATCGGTTGTGAGTTGATGAATGTAAAAAGACAGAACTGGAACAGTTTGCACTCAATAACCTGAGGTGCAGTTTTGCCGGGCTATCCCCCACGTAACAGCAGGGTCTATAAATAGAAACAAGGAATCCCCCGAGAACAGGTGCGGTAACGCGTAGGCATGTGATTGGCTCAAATATTGAACAATGTCTACCTTTCATTAGAGGCATATGAATGCACAACGATCTTGGTAGACAAACAGTGATTGCCTTATCAGTGCTTGTGCAGGGAGTTACTCGCTGTGTTCGGCGCGCGTGTCAGAACTCGTCAGTGTGATAACAGCTAGGCTAAAGCCACCTCTAACAGAGTCCATTGTTTTGGAGGAAGGGGGTATTTACTCTTTGCGTACGCGAGTTTTTGAACTACACCCTGTAATGTAAACAACCCAGCACCCCTCGCCTTACGGGTCGCGGGAAAAGCGGATGTATGTAAAATGAACTCTCCCATGATGAATTTTAACTGTTGAAAACATACAGTAAAAGTGATAGTGAATACGAATACTTTACTATGAACAACGACTTAGGTATTTATATAAAGTTAACTCAAACTAAACAACAGAAGCAGTGATATGTAGACACCTTGCATATAAGATAACATTACTGTTGTGTGATATTGTCAATGTGATATAACGGCTGCGCGGGGATATTTAAGAATCAGTTGCCAACTGACAGTTGTTCGTGACGGACGCATCTTCATTCACTCTGGGGTTTTCAGGTTGAGGTTTTTTTTATAGATTAAGCTATATAAGTCACGCTACAATGCTGTAAGTATTAAACAGTGGTTTAGTCATAATCGCTTCAGTCAGTGACCTACTGTGAACAGGGAAGCACGCTTATCAGCACTGTCCTGACTGTTATCAGCTGGGTATTCACAGTGATATAACGGCTGCGCGGGATATTTGAGAATCAGTTGCCAACTGACAGTTGTTCGTGACGGACGCATCTTCATTCACTCTCGGGTTTTCAGGTTTATCATCAGATCAAAGAACAGGTAAGTCATATTAGGTTAATTTTTAATGTTTGTGTGTACAACATTACTCGGGGAACATTTTTAGAGTGAATAAAAAATTGCCAAAGGTTATAAATACGAGAAAAAAAAATTGTTATAAATATGTTTGCAATGAAATTGGCTATTAATTTTCTTCATTTATTTAAATAGTATGGATACGAAGAGAAAAAAAGAATTTCTGGATGATGTTAAGTCCCTTTATGAATTGGAACGATGGGCAAATGAAAATGACATTGTCCAAGATCCTGATGTCAACCTCAAGAGAATTCAGTTGTTATCAATACAATCTACTAATGAGAATAACAAGAAACATGGTAAAAGTCACCAATGTGATCTTTGTGACCAAGTCTTCAGAACTAAGTACACTGTGATGAGACATAAACGGACTGTACATTTGAAGGAGAATATGCAGTGTGATAATTGTCTAACAGTGTTTATGAGACAAGATAACTTAAACAGACATAACTGTAAACGGAAAAGGATAACAGAAAGTGATGATCAAAACAAGCGTGCTCGGATGGATATTCCTAGTGATGGCAGTCCCAACCCAGCCAAATACGACAGATGTAATTGGTGTAATCATTACAGGTAATTTTGTAACTTTTATTCCAATAATTGCAAACATTAGTGTCACCTATAATTAGAGAAATTACCATGTATTACATGGTTAGTTAAATATTGTAATGTTTTACAGATGCCTACTGCCTAGGAAACGTTTCTGTCAGACCTGTGATGGGAAAGGTCGTGAGTGTATGACATGTCATCGGCCAGTACCTGAAAGACTGTACAGCCAACAGGTTGATCAATGTAACAGGTGTGCGAATAGACAGGAGAGATCACAGGCGAGAGGGAATCAGACTTGGGCTGGTAGATCAGCACTGGATGGGAATCTCAGGACAACAACACTCACGCCTAGTGAAAGTAACTCTATTGACATCTTACAGTTTTTCGCGGATGAACGCCAAACTATCACTGACATTTTGCATGATTTTTTAGACGATAAAAAGGGTATGAAATGGTTTCTTACTTTAAAACTTAAGTATGTTAAATATGATGAGATCAACGAACTAATCAATTAGGACAAGCTTTTCAAAAATTATACACATCCACACAGGAATTCCAAGACGTGGGTAGTGGTTGGATTTTAGATCGTATTGTACATATTGAGGTGAATTCAGCAGAATATGTACCCCTATCAGCTAGTAGCTACATCCCCTTACCAAAATGTTTAGAAAATAAGAAAGCGATTGTAAATGTCAAAAACCAAAACCCAAAGGTGCTTCATTTGGTCTGTTCTCGCTGGTATTCATAGCTTTCATGAAAATGCACATAGAGTATCAAAATACATTGGATATGAATCTGAATTTGATATGAGCGGTATCGACATACCAATACCCCTGTCTCATGTCCCCAAATTCGAGCAACAGAATCAGATATCTGTCAATGTATTTGCTTATATCGGGAAGTGGTGTATTTCCCCTTCATATTAGTCAGAATAGCTATGATAAGGTAGTTGATTTGTTACTCCTCACTGAAGGAGAAAAGAGACATTTTTGTCTCATTAAGAATTTCAGCAGACTCATGGCTCATAAAACAAAACATGATGGAAGAAAATATTATTGTAGACGTTGTCTGCATGGTTTTTCCCGCCAAGATTTATTGGGTGATCATGCAATTTTCTGCGCTGATCATAATGCCCAGAAAATCAGATTACCTCGTGAACATGAAAAATGGATTAGGTTTTCATCTATACAGAAACAACTCAATGTCCCATATGTCATTTACGCGGACTTTGAGGCATTCACCAGAAAAATTGAACAGACCGACAACAATAATTCAAACACAACCATCTTCCAAAAGCATGAACCTTCAGGGTTCTGTTACAAAGTAGTTTGTACAGATCCCAATGATACAAAACCATCAGTAACCTATAGAGGGTCTCATGTCGTGTCCCATTTTCTAGATAATTTGCTGAAAGAAGCAGATATCATCTATGAAAAGCTCCATGATCCTCAACCTTTGACAATGCCTGTAGCTGATGAAATAGCGTTTCAAAGGGCAGATACTTGCCATATTTGTAATAAGCCCTTTGATGAAAAATCAAGTAAAGTTCGTGATCACAATCACTTGACAAATGGTTACAATTACCGTGGGGCAGCACACAGACACTGTAATTTACAATATCAGTTTAGACAGGTCAAAGGTAAGAAAAAAAGGCCAACAGGAGGAATTCTTCATCCCTGTCATATTTCATAACCTCCGTGGCTATGACAGTCATTTGATCATGAAGGAGTTAATGTCAAAACAACGACTCAGTTGCTTGGCAAACAACATGGAGAAATACATTTCATTTTCCATTGGCTATTTGCGTTTCATTGACTCCTGTCAGTTCCTGCTTTCATCTCTTGGAAAACTTGTTGGCAATCTTGAGAAAAAGGACCCTTCCAAATTCATACATTTGAGACAGGAATTTCGTGACCCCAATCATGTTAAACTACTCTTGAGAAAGGGAGTCTATCCCTATGATTTCATGGATGATGAATCTAAATTTGAAAGGCAAGAATTACCTCCCAAACAGGACTTTTACAGTAGCCTTACAGACACATCAACTTCTGATGAGGATTATGACCATGCACAACAAGTATGGTCAAGTTTTGACATTCAAAACATGGGGGAATATCATGACTTGTATATGAAAACTGATGTTTACTTTTGGCCGATGTATTTGAAAATTTTAGAACAACAGCTTTAGAAAACTATCAACTAGACTCAGCTCACTGTTATACATTACCAGGCTTTGGTTGGGATTCCATGCTGAAAATGGGAAATGTTGAGTTAGAAAGATTGACAGATATTGACATGATACTTTTGATAGAATCGGGCATGAGGGGTGGTATTAGTATGATATCGAAAAAGTATGCAGAGTCAAATGTTCCTGATGAGGCTAATTACCAAATGAACGAACCTAATTAGCAATTAATATATCTAGATGCCAATAACCTCTATGGTCTCAGTATGGTCTCAGTATGAGTAAATTTCTACCCGAGAGAGATTTTCATTGGGTTGATAATGTAGAGGAAGTTGATATCATGAACATTGCGGAAGATGCAGAGATGGATGGGTATGATTCTAGAAGTCAGTTTGAAATACCCGAAGGAACTTCATGACTCACACTCGGATTATTCCCTTTGTCCCGAGTCCATGGTTGTCCAACATCACATGCTTTCTGATTATTCCAAAAAGCTTAAAGAGGAACTGAAATCTTCAGGGGAAACCTACACGAAAACTTGTTCCAAATTTGTTTGA